TCAGTGTTTGTGGGTACACCTACTGGTTGGGCTGTGGCAATGGTCATCATCTCCAGGGAATTGCTATAGCTATCTCCAGTTGACTTTAACCCTCGGTAATAGAGCATGTCTTTTGGCTGTGTAAGATCCTACGGATGTTTGCAAATTCAATGTGAAAGAGGCATTCTATGCCAAACTCAACACATTGTTTTGGGCGACTTCAATGTGACATCAAGCTGGCCACAAGATGTCTGTCAGTCCCCATGGCTTGGGTGCTGATCCCAGTAGTGACTCAAGGACTTTGCTAGGTTCCAGAAAATGAGGATTTCTGGCTCCTAGTATCAGCACTCTAACCTGCATTGCTGGCTATGGTATAGTGATACAGGTACTGTGGTCTATTTACTTTGCTGGAGGATCCTTCAGAATTGCATAGTGCCAGGTTGTGTGGCACTGACCACAGGCTGGTTGTGGCTTCTTTATGGGTCCACTTCAAAACTCCTCGTCCTTCCAGTGGTCATTCTGGGTTGAGTATTTTGAGCAGCTGTACCAGGCGGACCCTCCAACAGTTAGTTTGGGTGCAAATGGTATCACAATACCTGTCCTGGACCTACCCATCAGCGAGGAACCTCCTACCCTGAGATAAGGATGGTAATTTCTAAGATGAAGAGTGGGAAAGCTGCAGACATATGTAATATCCCTGCTGAACTGCTAAAGGCTGGGAGTGATCCAGTGGCATGGGGCTTGCATACTGGGAGTCTGGTTTTATTCCCCCTGACCTGTTAAGGGGCATGGTCTTCCCTCTCAGGAAGGGGACTGTAGCAATCACCTACTAAAGCACCAGAGACCGGGGGCAGACTGGATTCACTCCTGGCAAGTCCTTATCCTAGTGCTTAGATTCATTGTGGAATGCTGTCATACGTTCATTTGTGGGTTGCTTGCAGCATACATCGACATCAAGAAGGCGTTTTGCATCGAGAATCACTAAGGGAGATCCTAAAACTTAGGAGAGATCCGGACCAAATTATTGGCCCAATGGCAAGCCTACGTAATGGTAGTGAAAGTGCTGTAAAGTGGTGGGGGTCTGTCGAACTTCCTGTTAACTCTGGGCAAGATAAGGTGTTCTTGCATCAAGACTTTTCAACACCTGCACAGATTGGATAATAGGCAGTTACTATTCAAAGTCAATGTGGAGCAACTCTAGGCAACATTAAGGTTACAGACCTTGACATTGCTGATGATTTTGCTATTCTATCTGAAACTGGAAACCCTAGTGGCGGCTCTTGATGCATTTAGCAGTGAAGCGAAGCCCCTGGGGTTAGAGGTCTCCTGGACCAAGACCAAGATCCAAGATGTTGGGGGCCTGAGTTTCTGGAATCACTAGTGCCAGCTTTTGATGCATTTATCCATAAAGCATAGCTCTTGGACCAAGACCAAGATTCTGGGTTTTGGGGGCCTGAGTTTCTGGAATCACTAGTGCCAGCTTTTGATGCATTTATCCATAAAGCATAGCTCTTGGACCAAGACCAAGATCCAAGATGTTGGGGGCCTGAGTTTCTGGAATCACTAGTGCCAGCTTTTGATGCATTTATCCATAAAGCATAGCTCTTGGACCAAGACCAAGATCCAAGATGTTGGGGGCCTGAGTTTCTGGAATCACTAGTGCCAGCTTTTGATGCATTTATCCATAAAGCATAGCTCTTGGACCAAGACCAAGATCCAAGATGTTGGGGGCCTGAGTTTCTGGAATCACTAGTGCCAGCTTTTGATGCATTTATCCATAAAGCATAGCTCTTGGACCAAGACCAAGATCCAAGATGTTGGGGGCCTGAGTTTCTGGAATCACTAGTGCCAGCTTTTGATGCATTTATCCATAAAGCATAGCTCTTGGACCAAGACCAAGATCCAAGATGTTGGGGGCCTGAGTTTCTGGAATCACTAGTGCCAGCTTTTGATGCATTTATCCATAAAGCATAGCTCTTGGACCAAGACCAAGATCCAAGATGTTGGGGGCCTGAGTTTCTGGAATCACTAGTGCCAGCTTTTGATGCATTTATCCATAAAGCATAGCTCTTGGACCAAGACCAAGATCCAAGATGTTGGGGGCCTGAGTTTCTGGAATCACTAGTGCCAGCTTTTGATGCATTTATCCATAAAGCATAGCTCTTGGACCAAGACCAAGATCCAAGATGTTGGGGGCCTGAGTTTCTGGAATCACTAGTGCCAGCTTTTGATGCATTTATCCATAAAGCATAGCTCTTGGACCAAGACCAAGATTCTGGGTTTTGGGGGCCTGTTAATGGAACCCATTCTGTCGATACATTGAGGACACAGTGAGCTTTACATACCTTGGTAGTGTAGCCCCTGTCTTTGGGCTGTCAGACCATGAAGTAGTAGACAGATTGGTCTGATAGTGCTGGAAGTGAAATCTATCTAGTGCCTTGGAGTCTTATCTTGATGACTTGTAACAAGTACCTACACTGGATCATGGGGTACAGTTGGCAGGACTATGCATCCAACTGACGACTACACTGTCAGAATGGCTTGGGACCTGTTACTTGCATAACCCGGGGCCGCCAACTCAGGTTCGTTTCCCAGTGGATGACCCTGCCCATCAG